TATGACGAAGGGAGTTTGAACCTCTATTTCTTACGAGTATTATCACACAAGCTAACCAAAGCGATCAAAGATGGCAGGAGCGGCTTTGGAAATTGGTGACATTCGGAGTAGCCAGCAGCCTCAGTGGTTCACGCCTAACAGGTGATCATCGCCTTATATTTTAAAAAGTAAAATTCAATGTTAGAATTGTTGGTTTATATGTTTTTTTGTTCAGTGGGGGTTGCTTTACTTGTATTTGCTATGCAGTGGTTTTGAGGACTTGTATGGTTCGATTATGATCGCGATTGTTAATTTGTGGTGCTGATGAGATAATTATTAGATGGTGTCCAGACTCCTCATGCTATTCTGCTGCATTAATTTGCTCAATCACTTGGATCGTGGAATAATTGCAAGCAATGGAGTGAATGGAGTGCTAGGAGATGCCGGGTGTTTGAATGATGCAACCTGCATCCGTGGAACCAGTGTCCAGTGCGTATTTCTCTGAAATGTGTAGAGTTTCATCAATTCTAAATTTAGGGTTGTCTTCTCCCTGTTCCCATAAACCCAGCTCTAGAAAGAGAATCACTGTGTTACTGGATGTCGGACCTGGGTGTGCTTCTGATCTGTGAAACCTGTCGACATTCTCATTCTCTTTTCTTGACTAACCTGTGGAAACCAATGTTGAACGTTGGTATCCAAATTTTCTACGTAACTTTCTGCACAGAGCTTTTATCAGTTTGAGGTTTGCTAATTCTTGTTCGTCAACAACAGGGGCGAATTCGGATTGACTTCTCTTCAAGATGGAATATTATCATCTGCGTTTATGGCTGGACGCCTAGCAGCATCACCTGTGTTTGCTCACCTAGCAGAATTCTGTTTACCCATCATTATGTTTATCAGTTATTGTTTGTGTTGTTCTGCAAGATAATGTATCCGGAGTAATCAGCTTTTATTTTCATGTCTGTAGTGCATCTGCCAAGCGTTGGACTTCAACCAAAGTTCTATAAATTGGTCTTCACTAGTCTATGCATTGTTTTCAGCCTCGGTTTCAGATAAGGAAGTTCTGGTGGGAGTGTGAGTCCCTGAAGCTCCTGGAAATAAGCAGCTGCCATATTATTACTCCATCCATTTTGAAACACAGCATTTTTTCAGAGTGAATCCTTTCAGTCTCATTGGAGCTGGTCTTTCAGTCGGTGTTTGCGACAGCAGGACGTGGATTTTCCGTAGGGTTTTGGTCGATCACGGCTTTTCGCATGTGAGAATGCAACTTTAACCCATTGATAGATGTTACTTGTCCCTAGTTTATGAATTGTCTCAAGTTTGAATGGTTGGACTGCCATTGTCACACCATCAATCACACATGAGATAAATGCTTCCAGATGTGGTTGTATTCTTCCAAAGTTAATGATGCGGAGATTTTAATGTCAGGTTGGTGGGAGTGGGAGAATCAACTTTTGTCAGCTTGGCTGCTCCATTTGTACTCAATGTTGCTCCATCTTCACAGGTAAAATGCTGGTTAGGGTGAGTTAACCCTAGTTTGTGAGTTGCTGCAGTGTGCTAATAACTGGTCTTGGGAATCAATTTTTCATCGAGTTCTTGAATTAGTAGTAAATTGATATTTTCATTTCAACTTTTCTCGCACTAGCACCACTTCACAACTTAATGCCTTAAATTTCTGCCCACTAGAAACAAGGTAAACATTCATGAGCTTATTACTATTATGTATCATACTTCTTGTGATGTGGCACAAAATAACAGTAAGCTGTTGTGTATGCAGAGTTCCTCATGGATGTCTATTTTCTACATGTTCATACCCGTAGGAGTAGCCTTGGGCTACGTTTATGGAGTTGTAGTTACTCATCTTCTCACACGTTAAGAACGAAATTTGTGATTTGGATGATACGAAAATAGTCGTGGTTTGGAGCATTGTCCTGACATGGACATTTTTTTTCATAATTTATTTGCTTTAATTCTTTTGTCTGCACTGTACATTGAAGTTTATCTTGGAAGCTAGTTTATCCTTTGCTTCCTGTGCTCTTTATCACCTCTCTTTAATATACAAAGATTCTTCAGCCTTTTGCTAAGAGTGCATCTTGTGTATGCTTAGTGGTTTCGATACTTGATTCTTGCAGGTAGGAGGAGCACTGGGTTGGCGAGCCTCATTCGGGATTGAGAGTCTACTCATGCCTCCCTTTGCAGCCTTTGGTTTCATGTCCGACCGGATCTACTTAAAAGGTTTGTGTACTATTTCATCATGAATTAAACAGATGATTTTTTAATGATTTGCCCGTCGAAGGGGTTCCTTCATAGTGCAGCCATGCATGTAAGTAAATTTCTTACAATGTTGCTCAGATATGTATTGTACGTATACTACTAATTTTTCACGGAGTCACAGCTACATCTTGGCATTATCTTTTCTTAGTGGAGTACTGTTGCATAACAATTACATTTGAAGCCTGTAGTACCTATATTCGTGTAAGTCCTGATCGTTCGTTGCTTGTATTGTACTGGGATTGATATTGTCCCCCTGATGGAAATAGGAGAACTGGACAAGGTAGACGTAAATCCTCCGTCGGACGAAGAATCTTTGCATCGACAACGTGATAATGCCAACATCAAGTGAGCATGTTAATGGCTCTGGGTTTTCTGAGACTCGTGCAAAGACAATGGGTCCTATTGGTTGTCATGAAAATTTTATGTAGTATGTTGCAGCTGCTCGTTCCACAGGCTTTGTACTTTTCACATCATCACGTTACTTACGTGAACTACATACTAACTAGCTTTTCGGGACTTTCTCGCAGGCAAACAGCACCTTCGCAAGGGGGTCTCCTTAGTGACATGAAGGAGCTAACAATGAGCAAGGTTTACACCACAAATGTTCTAGGTATAAGGTACATAAGACTATTTAGGTCTCCATTTGTGGTTTGTTAATGAATAAACTCAACTGAGAATGGCCCTTGTAATTAGACCTTTTTCCACACTGCAGTATCATCTGGTTGTGTATAATTCTATTTAGAGATATAATTATATTTTAAGCATGATACACGCAGTCATGGACATTGACGACGAAGTCATGGATGTTATCTTGCAGGTCACATTGTCTGTAACTTCATCCTGGGCGCTTATTCTTATTGGGGCCCATAGGCCGGACAAGCAATTTTCAATATTGTAAGTTCCTGATACTGGGTGGTTTTAATGATGTAACAAGGTGATTGTAATCATGACAGTGAGCATATCGTGTGCTTCTTGTTTCATGATCAGTTTAGAAAATGGAAGAGTATGATGTATCTTTTTGATGCTTGAAATGTTCGCAAAAACTTGGGGGATGAACAGAGAAATGCAGATGAGGTATTTGGGGGATTGACAATACTGGGTGGTATAATGGGCACTTACTGTGGTGGTCGCTTCTTAGACTACACAGGATTTACTCTTCGGAACTCGTTCAATATAATGCTCAATTTGCAGTAATGGGTACCTTTTCAGACAGATGTTACTTTAATATCATGGTCATAAAAATTCTGAGACGCACTCTGTAAACTTTGTGATAGCAGTAAAGTGTATGAGGTTACTATATACTATTCGCACGTATAATGCTTCACAGTAACTGAGTATTTCGAGTATTGTAATTTTTTCAGTACCATAAGCAAATTTGACGTGTCCTTAACTCAAGTAGGGATGCATTTTAATTTACCTTCGTCAGGTTGTTGTTTGAAGCTGATTGCAGTGTCTATTGTCCTGAGTTCCTTTTATTTTGTTGCATTCACATCACAAATCTTGCTTGTATTTATTTTGTTTTTGGCAGTTGGCAATTTTTTCCTCTTGCAATCCAGGTTGATCACATGACATAATTAAGCAACACTGGTTCATGTGAATAGACCGCATACAACTATAGTTTGCGTTTACTATGTTTAAAAACAGTCTTCCAATTAACCCAACTCAGTAGGATGTGCTGGCAGGGCCCTGTTAATCTTGCCTCCCTTCCCAGAGTCAATCCTAACCTACATGCTTTAGCCTTGGCTATGTCCACTGTTTGCGTACACATTTTTGGAGATGTGCCTTCAGGTCCTATTGTAGGGCTTTTCCAGGTAACTCCTGTTTTTGATGCAACACTGCTACCTCCTCAAATATTTTCTTAGTCTCACCCTCGTCTCTCACTTGAAATGTATTATGATGCCCTTGTGAAGCTGGTATATGATTGTTAGTAAACATGTGCTCTATTAGCACTAATTCATTCTCTTGACATTCATCACAGGATTGGGTTCAGAATTGGTGCATAACCACCCTTATCCTCACATCCATATTCTTCCTTGCTGCTGCCATTTGGGGATTCGTCAAGTCCACATGCCTGCAGTTCTGGTAGGTTGTATGCACCTCTTCAGCTAACTTAGATCATATCATTTCTTTTATTGATTATGTCATTTGTCCGATATTTCTGTTGCTTTCAGTTATTTAGCATCGCTTCTTTGGTGCATATTCTTTAGTGGTAGGAATACTTGGAATGATCATCAAATATTTGTTAATGAAGTACTTATCGTAGACTGCAGTGATTTACTGTTAGTGCAAACAATTAGTTGCTGATCTTCTGGCGCAATTTATTCTTTATCTTCTTTGTACACATGTTTTTTCAAGCTTTTTTGTATTATTGTAATGCTTCTTGTAGTCGAGTCTTTATGAGACATGCCTAAAGAACATACTTGTCTGGTGTGCTTTGTAGGGATATTTTTCTTGGCTTTGGACAAGGAGACGGGTGAAACCAAGGGGTCCCAGGAAGCGCCGTTGCTAACTGAATGACAGAACGTTTATAATGTAATTTAAATGCACGATACGTGATTTTTCACTGCATAGCTGTTAGTTTGCACCATTTCATTTCTGAAGTTTTATTCTCACAAAAATAAAAAGGACAAGGGTTGCCAATTGTTAACCACCTGCAAAGTGGGTTCGACCGCCTCTCTGAAATAACGCTGGTAAGAAAGGACTGTTCAAAATCGCAGGCGAGGGTTAGAGGATAGGTCTGTAAAAACTTCCATCAATTGGTATCATAGATTGATATTTTTAAAAACTAAAAACATAAATGAACACGAAGTTAAACCATAAATGGCAACTTGAGGTCACTTTAGTATTGGTACTATCAATCACTGTCGGCTGCGTCAGTACGTTCTCTAAAACAGACTTATAAGTGGTTAATGACGCTTGAAAATGTACAGGACCCTAGCATTTGAAATGGGGAAGCCTTGAATGTATTACCGTTTTTAAAGGAAGCAGTGATTGCCTCAGATCCCGAATTCTAGAAATATTCTGCAAATGATACAAATATTTGAAACTGGACAGCGAAAATCTGGAGTCGTGAGAAAACACAACCAGTGATTGCTGTACTCGATAAATAAAAAATTGAATGAACACCTTTAACATTATTACAGATGTCTTCCCCTAGGGACTTAATAATCCGACGATGCCCTCGAAGTCCAATACATCAAGCCACTGCAAGACATGGATAATAAACATGTACATAAAAATACAATTGGGAAGTCAAGTTCATTGAAAACAAGAAGCTATCTGATTCAATAAATGAATGAATTTGTGAGCATCTTAACGCCTGTGCACTTGCAACATGCACAACCAAGCGATTAGTGAATGGATTCATCCTTCTTAAATATAAAAATAAAATAGTCACAACCCATTTCCACTGTGTGTTACCTGGAAAGGACAAAGAAGCATTGCAAGACTCCAGCTATGCCCGTCCATGTAGATGGAGTGGTCGGCAGCAGTGCGTCTTGCACTAGCATACCCACAGAACCCGCCAACGAGGTAAATGCAATAACATACGCTAAAAACAACCACGTTCTTGACCTGGAAACAGAAAAACAAACTGTCACTAAGGACACCGCCAGGAGCACTTTCACAATCTCACGTCTTAAGGACACACAGAATGCCATTAACAACAGGAGAATGACCTCTTCGTCTTCAAACTCTGATTGCCTATGCATCTGTAAACATGCTAGCTCGAAACTCACCAAACATCCAGCTGGATACGGTTAGTGCTTTAAGTCACAGAATCTATGAGCTCCACGATACAAAATTCCACTCGCAGTACAAACCATTTTCAATGTAGATACCCCACTTTTCCACCAAGCAAAATTTAATTTCCATCTTACACCAATCAAACAATTTCTCTCGAACTTTAAAACTCCGAGTTGGTCACCATAAGAGCTACAGTTTCAAAATTCAAGCACTCAAGGGTTAAACAACTTCAAAATATCACAAACGAGACCAGAGCTTTACGTGAACTAGCTCCTAGTATGTGCGATTGCTACTGTAACTACTCTCAAAATGATTCTTAGAATAGTTACCGGCAGCCATCGTTGTCATCAAAAGGTGAATAATCTGTGAGCTCATCTCTCCGCACACCATTCACCATCAACGCCGCGATTGTCGCAAATATTCCTGCAACCATTCATATCTGTCAATCAGCCTGGCCATATCAACATGAGTAAAGAACACCGCTACACTGTTGATCTCCTTGTATTTCCTTGCACACTGTTTCCACGTCCTGCATTTATTCACTGCTTCAAAATTGGAATTTCCACAACCGATTCGCACTCACAAAATCCTGAATCCGTGAAATTCAGAATGCTATCATAATCCTGTTACCGTTACACATTCAGCTCATGCTCACTTAACCCTAAAGTGTTCAAATTTTTGAATTAGTATAATTTTGGAGGCCCGAAGAGCAATTAATCAAATAGGCATCTTTTTCTTCATAAAATCCAATAGATTAATCCGAGCTTGAGACACGAACAGAGAATGCAAAATCTGACCAAGTCTTCCCGACGACTCCAAATCTGTCCGTCCAGAAGTTTCGAAGAGTATCTCACCCAGAACCCAAAATTGGCATCTCATGTACACTCAACACACACACACAAATCCAACAAGACCAAACGTTCGCACCCTTGACACACTCGATCCCAATCCCCGCGCACTGTCAAATCCGAACTCGTTCAAACCCTAATTCGTAGTACCCGGCAAGTAATGAAGGAAGGGCACTTTGATGTCGCTACACACCACCGCGTCCACCCAGAACCACCACCCTCCTCCAAATACGGCCCCTGCGAGACCAGGACCCAGCGTGTTCCACAGCTCCTGCAAGCCCATCTCAATCAATCGACGGCCGATCTATTCCTGAGCCCTAGCAGCAGCAATTGAATGCTTCAACCGGGCCACCGAGACAAAGATTACTAAGTGAGTTCGGAAATCGATCGAAGTCGATGCTTCACCGACGGATGAATGAGTTTTTCTGATGAATGAGTTAATTGTGGCCGAAGTTAACTAACCCACACCACGTTGATATGCGTGGGCTGTGAACATTTGGCTCGTTCTGTGAAGCCCAAAAAGCATGACTCCAACTTTACTGGAAACTTTCACGATCTGTGCATTAGTTTAGATCCGATGTTGTCCTCATATCAATGTGATGTTGTCCTCATATCAATGTGATGTTGATGTAATTATTTTTCACTTTTTCTGTTTTTTTAATATAGACGAATTCGGTACAAATATAATGGAAGCTACAGATCATTTCTGCAAGTTGTTGGTTTTGTATTCATAATTTATTATTTGTATTTTAAGAGAGGGGGATTACTTTTGAAAAACTTCTAGTAAATTCTATTTATGGATTCAAACATAGTGGTTGTGGTAGTGGTGATGCAGCTCCGACACCACCCACATCCTCAAACACTTTCTTACCTGCTCTCGGTTCTAGTTTCAACTATCGTCCACATACAAGATCTTGGGTTAGTGCATCTCTCAACGGGCAATCTTCTTTACCGAAACCTCATCCTTTTCCACCTCGTATTAAAACAATTTCAGAATTCACAGTTTTCGTCTCATCTGAGATTCAAGAGACGATTTTCTTAAACGAAAATAAAACTACTAAACAATAAGCTATAATATGGGAAAAATATATTGCTAAGACATGCATCGAAATAACTAAGATTTTCAGCTGTATAACACAAAACAAAACACAAATCTGTTCTTTTAGGATTTAGCTAACCAAGTATGTCTTTTTGTAAATATCCAACTCGTATGCGTCCCGGAGTAGCAGAAAAAATATACAAGATTGGAGACCAATGAAGTGCTCACAAAGTCTTACAGAACACTTACAATAAACGATAGTAATACATATACAGATTAAAAAGAGTACTTTAAAATAATGGAGATTGAAAGCCTTGACATCTCGCATGGATTTTCTTACACCAACGTTTTCTCTCACCATGACACTCCTTATGACAAGCACACAGTGGTAGATTGGTCCACAACAGCAACAACATGTGCAACTTCACAAAAATTTAACAGTCAATAACAGGCGGCCCAATCCAAATATCTGGAATCAAAGACCTAGGTTCTCTAAATTTGATTGCTCATGCTTTGCTCCGTGGGAGGGGCCATGGTGATGACCAGGTAAGGCTGATTAGCTGGATGCAGGGTCCGGCGGCGAAGTTCGCGAGCTTCCTGAGCCAAAGCGAATGGATGGAGGCAGAAAAGCCCATGAATGAAGAGATCACAAACTGAATCACAGCGCTCTCGAGTTTCTTCACTAGGATTGGCACAGCACCCGAGACAGTAATTCCCATATCCCTGCAAGTTGTCAAGTGCGTGATGAGTAAGAACAGACGTCAACGGACAGATGAGGGCAGTTTTGTAGCATGGACATAGTAAGTGAATGAGCGTAACACTAGTTTAAACAGATTTCTACAACCTGAAAATTATAATAAATATCTTCATCACTCAGATACGTTTCTGGTTAACCAATTTTTTTAGAAACGAGCCCCGCAAGGAAAGGAAAGCCCAATTTCTCAAATGGCATTCCACATTTACAGATCGACCGTACATGCTTAAACAATTACCTCCAAATTGTACTTTTGACGAAGTGCAACACGTGAATTAACTGAGCTCCAGGGCGCAATGTTGTTGGCATTGAACAGAAGTGAGCCAAGAAAGTAAAGCCAACTATAATGCAGACAGTGATCAACGAAAACCCTTGGAGCCGGGTACAAACGCTCCATGTTACTGCCATACAGAACACATGGTGCAGCAAATCCAAGGACACCTGATTTATGATCAAATTAAACATATTAGTATACTGCTCGAAGACGGTCTGGACCTAGAATAATGGCATAGCACATGTGGAATACGCACGGCTATGTATGAAGAGGGAACTAGTTCCAGAAACGATACAATTTATGGGGGTCCCTTGCAATTAATTTATGTACCTAAACTTCCCGAACCACTCGTGCAAATAAAATGGTATCAGAACACTGGAGATGGTGACGATAATCCTTTAAGCATACTGCCCAAATACATTTCGAGAAGGATACTTACAAACTTCAAGGTCGCTGCTGAAATGTCCGTCACCATTTCCTAAGCATTGAAAGAGGCCAGTAGACCAGGGAGTGCGAGGCATCTGGGCACTTACAACTGTGGTTGCAGGCCCAGGCCCAACGGGCAATCCGGTAACTGTATCTTCTTCATCTTCCTGTGTAAGTGGCTCCTTGGTGTCTGGTTCTTTTTCACCCCTATACAGTTTACATTCGTCAAGCAATCCCTCTTGCTCTGCCAGTGCTTGCTCCTGATCCTTGTTCATCTTGGTAACGCTGCAGAGCGGTAGAATCAAGTGAAATGAAATTCACAACATCAGTCAAACACAATTAGGTCTTGAGAATATAATAATGCAAGAAAACCTTCAAACGAAGAAGGTCAAAGCGCAATTCAGAGGACGCTGGCCAAACCTAATCGACAGCCAAAAGGGCCAAGCACTTCTCATTTGAAGTAACCAAACCATAAACCTAGCCCGAAATTTCAACTAAGAAAAGTTCGTAGATTATCCTCTTTTCTCACCGACAAAAACCCAATTCTACACGCGATGCACGAAACCATAAGCTACGAAAGACAACTCACCACAACACACCACAAGAGAAAAAAAGCCTGCGCGAAAATTCAACACTTCGCTCTTCCAACACTCAAGAAAACCCAGTCAAGATCTCACAACCACGCAAGGCATCTGAAACTGGAACTCCCAATGCTACACGCTACCTCAACTCAGCAAACACACAAAACAAATCCTCGTGGAAACAAGAACAAGACAACGGAGGCAACCTCAGCACTCAAACTTGGCAGACCACCGTTCCACAATCACAACAAACTGCCGACATCCACACAACAAAATTAGTGTAGGAGCAACCCGTGATCACGACATTCCTCACCGCACCAACCATAAAATCCAAACCACTCACCTCATCAAACTTTAACAGCGCAAGAATGAAAACAAACTTACGAGTTTAAGATAACACTGAGCGAAATTCAAGCGGTTTAGAACACCAAAGCGGCTGCCAAGCCAGACGACACAGACCAATCTAAGCGATGGCTCGCTCAGAGCTTTAGCGGACAAATCGAGCAACGGTGATGAATGAATGCAAATCGGCGGGGGAGGTTCACGCCGAGTTTTAGAAGACGAGGTCATGATGGCTCCCGGAAACAACCCTACTCAACAATTTCGTGGCAAAAGTGCCAGCAAAGATTTCCTACCAATTATTTCTCCGACGTGGGACGACGTGGAAGGGATGACATGTTCGGTCAAAATTGGCAGGACTCCCGCCACAGTGGAAGGGGTCGGCGTTGCATTCGTTATGTCGGGTTTCTGTGTCCGATTTCCTTGGTTCGTTGCAATTGTGAGTACATGCTATGGCTTTGTAGTTGGAATACAAAAATATCCTCCGAAAATTGGATTAATGGATAAGTAAAACATAAGTAATGAAATAAATAAAAATGGCTAAATGATATCCTATGAAGAGATGAGTGAAAGTTAATAGAGAATCATTGAAAATAATTCATTAGTTATGTGTGTACGTATATATATATATATATATATATACTTGCTTTAACTTGTGTTCATACGTTTGTATGCTTATACTAATTTTTTATATATTTTTTTAATACAATGTGAATTTATCTATGTGCCATGATAAATTTAAGTTCTTTTTAAGCATATTATAAATTTGATAATTAATGTATGTTATTAGAAACTTTCTTAACTAAAAAAATAATAGAAAATAATACATCATCTATATTTATTTCTAGCACTTTTGTATTCAATGATAAATCCAATGCATTTGTTTCCATAAAAATAATTTTTTACAAAAATTTGATGGCATTATATTGGAAGTGTAATGAATGTAGTCTTAATACTTTGAAATGTTATAACATATATATATATATATATATATATATATATATATATATATATATATAAAGTTTTATTAAAGCCACACTCTAATATTGCTAAAGTCACACTTCTCCTTACTATCTAATAATTGATTCCATCCATCTTTCATCTTTGTCCTTTATTCCTATCTTTTGTTCCCTACCCCTTAATTTCATCCTCTTCCTTCCTCCATGTTCCTGTTGTTTGTTTCATGTCCTCTATTCTAACTCTCTTCTTTGTTCTTGTTACAAATATATATCTACTGTAATTGTTATTTATGTACTCTAAATAGATAGAAGTAAGTAAAAGTAGATTAATTTCATAATACCTTCTAAATAAGCTTCATAAAAGCTTTTTAGATAATGTTTTGACTTTATATGTATTTGTGGTTGATTAATAGGTTAGAAACTTGGTCAATAAGCTAACCACATCTTATACATGTTGATAGCTTGCAGAACAAACTAATTGTGTGGCATTCATTTAAAAAACTTATCTTGTAAGTCAAGATATGTGTCATACAAAGTCAACAAGTTTTTAGAGGTCCTATAAAATATTGGCTCATAGATCTTAAGTAGATAGAATATATAGAGGCAAGATTAAAGTCTTCTTCACTCTTATCAATTCTTTTCTTGCTTCTAGTCTAGATTTAAGAATCTCTAGTTTCATTGTCTTTTAGCAATAGCCATTCTAGTTTCTTTTTAATATATATACTTCTTTATTTCTATTTTGTCACTTTACTTTTGACACCGATTTCATAAGTTTATGCATCTTCTTTCAATTCATGTCCTTGATCATTCTTGTTCTTCATTCCATATCTTCATGTCTTCTTTCTTTCATCCCCCTCCATTTTGCAAGTTCTTGTTGATCCATGCTAATCAAGGCCCATTAATACTACTACTTCACAAGAATTACTTTAACGTTCAATGATATTTTTTATTATTTATGTATATGTATATAATATATATATTAACAATAATATTTTGATATTTATAGATTTTATTTTATTTTACTTTAATATTTGAAATGTAAATATAAATTCATAGTATATTGGTATTGGTTGAATGAGAGATTAATACATTAATATAAAATTTGACTTTTATTGGAGTTTTAATAATTAGACATTTATAATATGTTCATGGAATAAAGATAATTTATGTCACAAGCTATAAATGCTCAAAAATGCTTCTAATATCAGTATGGAATGATGTTAATATGTATTAGTATTTTCATGGAATAGAAAAAAATTAAATATATATATATATATATATATATATATTACAAAGGTATTCATTATATAATAAAAATAATATTAAATAAATATTGGATGCATTTATTTCTTTTCTTATAGTTATCTTTTTTACAATCTATTAAAGTATTTATTAAATTAATATTATATAATTTTAAAAATTATCTATGTATATATATATATATATATATATATATATATATTGGTTCTTATTTATTTTTCTCATTCTAAGGTACTTCGTATAATTTAGGAATAAATAAGTTGTTTCTAGTATTAAAAAGCATCAAACACATCAATTTACTGTAAATTAAGATTATAGCTTATGTATTCTATAGCCTTAATTTCTATGCAATCTCTTTCACTATGTAATTTTTAAATCCAAAACATATATTTTAGTAATAATAATAATAATAATAATAATAATAATAATAACTTGTTCTTTTATTAAGCAAAAAAAACCCTTATAATACTTCCATCTTTACTACTTCTCTTTAAAGAGAATTCTACAAAAAAGTTCATTCCTAAGGATGGAGGATGAAACCTCAACATATGCCTAAAAAGTTAAAAATAGTTTTTATGAAGTAGTGGTGTTAATGGGCCTTGGCTATAATAGATAAACGAGGGATTACAAAGTAGAGAAAAAAGAGGAGAGAGTATGAAGAAAGGCATGTCCTAAGTTAGAAATATGAACAAAGAAAGGAGGGAGGAGATAGGGTATAGTTGAAGAATAAAAGATGGAAATAGAAATAGAAAAGAAGAGATGGAGAATAAGAAACTAAGGAGGAAAACAAAGACAAAAGACATAGAATAAGGAAGGTGTCATATAAACAAAGATTGTTACAAACAACTCATTAAGTAATACAAATCAATCACAAAGTATATAATGTAAACCTGTCAAGGACAAGAACATGATAAAGACAAATAAATAAGTGAGACTTCTTTCAAAGAAAGATGACAAAATAGAAATAACTTGATATGTATATTAAAAAAGAAACTAGAATGGCTATTGCCAAAAGCCAAGAAAACTAGAGACCCTTGAAACTAGACTAGAAGCAAGAAAAGAATTGACAAGAGTGAAGAAGGCTTCACTCTTGTCTCTATATATACAATCTAACTAGGAGCTACATGGCAACGTTCTATAGGACCTTCAATATGTGTTGACTTTGTAGGATACATGCCTTGACTTACAAGGTAAGTTTTCCTACGTGTGCGCCACATAGTTAGCTTGGTCTTCAAGCTAACAACATGTGTGGCACATGGTCAACTTGTTGACCACGTTTCTAATCCCAAAAAGTCAATTAAAGACACCTATAAAGTCAAAGCAGCATCTATGAAGCTTTTGGGAAGCTTCCATACCAAATACTATAGAATTAACTTACTTTTATCTAATTTTACTTACTTCTACCTATTTATACATGTAATTATTGGCTTACATACATATGTCCATGACATTACCTCCCTTTTTAGGGACGAGTTCCACAAGGAGTGGTAATCATATGTTGTGAAAATCAATGATATGACGAATTATATTTCCCACATATTCTGATCTTTGTTCTCTTCGAAGATGATTGATAGGGCCTCTCAACCATTAGTAGTGTCCCATACTAGGACGGGAAGACCACCCAGTTATTTGATCATTGTTGAGGCCTTCATAACTTCCTTAGAATAAAACATTTGGAACACTATTAGGAGTTGTTTCTACCTCTAGTAAAATCACCAAACATCGAAAGTCCCTTCCAAGGTCGTGATACTAAACGCATTGTATCTTGCCATCTATTTGAGGAAGAACATGTCGTTCTTAAAGATCTTCATCTCGATTGTGCCATCTTGAAGGTTGTGACAATCATAATATCTCGTCCGACAGATCAACAAATATAGGCTCTAGAGTTGAATCCGCTGGTTGTTGGTTCTCCATTTTCTGAGCGTCACAACTACAAAAAAGCTACAAACAAGGATTGAAAGTAGAATGTTATCTTGCCTAGATCTTCTTTCTTTTATAAGAAAGGTTTTCATCTTGATTTTGATGGATGTCGTCAATGAAAAGCCTCCACCACCTTTGCTGCATTTGCAAGATTCTTTATTGGCTCCCATGTGCGTTCACTAATATCATATCCGTGCCAATGGACAAGATATTCCAATTTATTTTTGAGCCACCTTCAATCTAAGACTTCTTCTACTACAAACTCTTCACTATTGTTCACTTCTGTAGGAGGAGGTGGAGCTTATCTTCTTTTTGATATATCCATTGTCTTGTATGGTTCAAAAAGAGACACGTGGAATATTAGATGGATTTTCATTAACTTCGGTAGATGTAAACGATATGCAATTGGATTGATTTGTGCACAAATAGAAAATGGTCTAAGCCTTTGATAGTCCAACTTGTCACAAGGATGAGTGGTCTTGATATTGCGATGAAGTAACCATATCTTATCACCTATTTGGAATGGTCGTTATTCCTTTCGATAGACATCCGCATTGACCTTTTGTTATTCTTGAGTTTCTTTTAATTGTGCCTTCATCGTTGTATGTAGCTCTAATAAATGAATTTCTAAATCTTTTGCAGCATGATTATCAACTTTTGAAAAGTCAAAAGTATCAAGTCATGGATGATAACCATAATTAGCAAAGAAAGGTGTTTGTTTTGTAGAAGAATGTATCGTGTTATTGTAAGCAAACTCTGCCAATGGCAAAAGAGTTGTCCAATCATCTTATTTGTAGTTAATGGTACATCTTAAATATTACTCTAAAATTTGATTGATACGCTCTGTTTGTCCATCAGTTTGAGGATAGAATGCTGAAGATAGTTTTATATCCATTTTTAGAATCTTGAAAAGAGTCCGCTAAAATCTTGATATAAATTGAGTTCTCTTATCTGATATAATATCCTTGGGTAATCCATGATAGCGATAGATATTGTCAAGAAAGAGCTTAGCTGTTTCTTCACCTGTGATAGATTTTGTACATGGTACAAAATATGCCATCCTAATAAAATGATCCATTATCATGAATATAGAGTCATAAGAACTTGAGATTC